TGACATGTCCAAATACACAAGATCTATTTGTTCTCCGTGGTCGAGTAATGAACCAACATGATCTAGCGCCTCGAGTAAATTAGTAACACACGACTTTCCAGTTAAATATCTGTGTTGACATGCTGGAATTGACTTATACAACTGATCTTTGATGTTGTTTAATATGCAACGTTCTAAGACTTTTGAAATTACTGACAATAGAGATATTGGACGATAGTTTTCTACATGTTCTCGTTCGTTCTTTTTATAAATAGGAACCATGTTGGCTAATTTCCAATCCCTCGGCATTTCTCCAGTCCTTAAAGATTTATTAAATAATTTGCACAAAGATGGTGCAATTACCGATGCAGTTTCTTTTAGCAGTTTGGCAGGAATTCCGTCTGGTCCGGTAGCTTTACTAATATCGAGAGTTTTAAGAATTTCTTGCACTTCTGTGACTGAAAGAATCAACGAATCAACCAACGTGTCGGCAATACATTCTGTAACTTCGCACGATGCATCTAGACGTGAGTCCTCTGTGATGGTATATACGGAACTAAAGTACCTGTTAAACAAGTTCGCAATTCCCTCTGGAGTGTCAGCATTTTCTCGCGGATTTGACTGCTCTGCTGTTTGATGACTGTGTATTTCATTTTCCATAGAAACTAAACCAGGTATATCTCTGGATTTTGATTTTAATTTCAGAATTGACCACAAGCGCTTTGGATTTGTTCTAAAATCAGCATTTGCCAACTCAAAGTAACTTTCACGGGCTTCTTTAAGTGACTTCTTTACTTCGGTCCGCATACATCTGAATTTATATTTCAGACATTCTGTAGGACGAGATCTTAACTTTTGGCGAAGGGTATTTTTCCTCCTAATCATATTCAGTATAGTGCCGTTTATCCATGGTAATGGGTTACGACCCATTAGTTTCTTAGATGGTATAAAATCGTTCACAGCAGCCAAGAAAACATCCTTCCACTGCTGCCAATCCCTGTCGATATCATTGTCGCCCTCTGATATAAACGACGAAAGGTTGATCGCATTTAAGGAATTTCGCAGGCCTTCAAAGTCACCATTAGCATAATCAAAAACTGACCTGCTTGTTTTTAAGGGCGCCTTTACGAAGGAGTTAATTTCGAAAACAATGGCAGAGTGATCTGTAAAAATTCCTGTTCTCTCAGACGACAATACTTCAGTTACTTTGGTGAGATCATTGTTACTGCTGATAACGAGGTCAAGAATATTATCGCCTCGGGTGGGCGTCTTATTAATTTGTGATAGAAAATGATCGTTTAACGCCTCAACAAGCAGCAATTCACTAGCACCAGCTACACTAGCCGTCGCGTCCCAAGGGATTCCCGGTAAATTGAAATCACCACATAGCACGATGTTATTAAAATTATCACAGGCCAGATTTAGGAAGGTATTGAATGAATCTGCCCAACTTGTTCCCAATTCCGGCGGACAATAACATGAGCAAAATAGGGTTTTCTGACCTGTAACCGTTTCAACTGCAGCCGATACAATCTCTAGTTCTGCCAAATTAAATGGTAGGCGAAATTCACGAACACTTTTAAAGGTACTCGCTTTGATAGCAATCAAAACACCGCCTGCTCGTCGAAGCGGTCGGTCCTTTCTGAATATAATATAACCGTCGTGAAGAATTTCCGAACTATCTAAGCTCTCGTTGAGCCATGTTTCGTTAACGCACACGATATCCGAGTCTTCCGAGTATACAAAGTCCTGAAAACGATGTAGGTTGCATACGAGTTCCGTCTGCCCATCAGTGCCTGTGATTTTGTGTAGACTCTTTAGACTTCTTGCATTTAACACCATACACTTGTAAGTGGGAGAAACCGCGTTTGTTATTCGACCAGGGCCAGGATGTGTCGCGATATCGCCGCACAAGAGTAATAGGCCGAAGACATATCCGCTAAAGCTTGTAAAGTCACGAGAATATCGGAATCGAAAGCCCATTCTGCAATCGACATTTTCTTCCTTGTTTGGCAGAGTTGGCTTGCAAAACCTCCACAACAAATGGAACCTCTTAGGTGCAAACACTTCACAACAATAGTCAGATGAAACTAGGACAAATTTTGTGACTAAAATCACAAGAATAACAGAGCTCGAAATTAGACGTCTTTCCGCCATATAATAATGTTGTAACACTTATTGATTTTCGAAAAGCTTTTGACACTGGATCAACATCGATATTCTCATCTCCAAGCTTAATTGTTAGCGTTTCGATGAAACTCTAATTATTAAATGGATGTATTCTGTTACAGCTCTAGGGCTCTGTGTTCCGTGGCGCATGCGCAGGTATCGTTCTGGCATGGCGGCCGCGAGGCTACCGAGTTTTTTACCTTTTGAGACTGTATTTTGTGATATTTTAAGGTTATATTTCGTTTATATTTACAATAAAAAGTTGTTACTAAATCAAATGAGTGTTGGCTCAGCCTCGGAGATATTTTTGACACGGAAAAACGCAGAAGGCGCCTTGCCAGCTACAGTAAAAACTCGTAACCTTTGTTCGTTGATCTATGGTTTAATGGCAAATATGATCAGAAATAGATAAGGATTAGTTCGTGCATTTGTAACTGGACGTTAATTCAAGCATTTACAAGGATCACACAAGTAAATTTACGGATATGGACGGCGAACATGAAATGTTTATGGACGGTGAAAATGGTGGTGAAAATGGCGCAGAAATTTCACTGATTTGCTCGCATACGAAGGAAAGTTACTCAAAGGATACAACGGGCAGTCAAAATACGGATACAGCGCAAGCTGCGCAACATGAACTGGGTTTGGATGGACAAAGTACGGTCGAAGGCACTGAAGAAATGGAAATTGGTACGAGAAAAAGAACTATGACTGATAAAGGTAAACAATGTGAATTAGATAAGCTTAAGGAAGCTCGAATATTCGCATTACGACAAGTAACGAGAGAGATAAACAAGCTCAAACCATTACTTCAGGATTTTAATAATTTTGAATTTGTGTCGAATGAAATAGAATTCTTGAACGGATTAGTTTCTAAATTGCATGATGCTCATGATGCATATTTAAATCACTTGGGCGACACCGATGAAACCAGGGTTGCTGTTGAGTGGTTCGAGATTCATGATGGTGATATATTTGGGTTTAAAAGGTCCTTGTGCGAATATATGTCACATGCTAAGTGTCTGAAGCATGAGCTTAATTCTACCACTACTAAAGGATCATCTCGCTCATCAAAGGGTTCTAAACGCTCTAAGAACTCTAGTTCTTCAACAGTGGTGTAAATAGCGAGCAACATTTGACATTTGACATTTGATATAGTTAATATTAAGTTCTGTTATGGTTTATATAGACATTTAAGTGATGACATTTTTGAGTGACATTATAGGCGTTAGTTGTATCAGTATTTTGTAAGAGAGACACGCGAGAGTAAAGAGACGGTTTAAAGGACGGATAGTTAGAGAGATTAACGTAAAGTTGTAGTCAGAGTCAAGTCCTGCAGGGATCTACCCTTCAGAATATATTATCTCATTAAATATTAAAAGAAATCCCTGTTCGACTCAGTAAACCAGTCAGTGCCAACCAGCTTCTGAAGGTTATGTGTGCCGATTAGCAGGCAAAAAGCGAGTGTTGGTACAAGTAATTTGAGAATCAAAGACGACAGTATTGCGTGACATTGAACATTAAATAATTGAACATTGAAAATTGCGAAATGGTCGAACCAGAAGTACAAATAACCCTTAGTTCAGAAAATACTGACCCAGAGCAGCAAGTCGCAATTAAGAGTAAACGCCGACAACTTAGAGCTCGAATCACTCGTTCTATAAAACGTATTAGGGAATTTATTGAACAAAACAATCACAATAAAACACGATTTGATAAAGAGATGGCAGAATTGAGGCGCGATTTTGAAAGCGCACGCGAGTTCCACACGCAATTATATGATTTTGCAGACGAATCCCAATTACCAACGATGGACAAGTGGGAAAACGATCTAACGAACGATGTTTATTCGATCGAAGAAGAAACTGAACTTTATTTAAGTACGATTTCGTTGCCCGAGGCATCACAAACCTCGCAAATCCAAAGTACCTCGCAAAATATGCAAAGTATGCAGACTCCCACTGAGCCTGAGATTGAACCTGAGACTATACCTGTGTCAAGTATTGAAAATAATCCAGCAAACGAAATATCTGAAGCCCCACAAGTCTCTCCCATTTCAGTAGAATCTGGTCAAAATACAATAAATACGAATTTATCCTCCCCAACAACACCTTGCCCCTTTGACGCATGGATAGACGATTTGGTAGAGTTTAAAGAAACTGTTTTGCCCAAATCATCTCAAAGTGTTTCTGTAGCTGACGCACTTTATAAATTAGAAGCGAGTAAAGATATACCGACCATTAAACTGCCCAAATTCAGTGGAAATGCGCTCTTCTATGCCGATTTTATTGGTCGATTCAAAATTCATATTCATGACAAACCGCACTTGACAGATGACATGCGAATGATTCAATTAAAAATGCACGTTACCGGAGATGCCGAACGCGCGATTTCGGGACTTGGGTCCAAGGGTGTTATGTATGCGACAGCATTAAAGATTTTAAAGGAACAATTTGGACAGCCAAGTACTATAGCTCGTTCTTTGGTAAATCAACTTACCAAGGGAGACAAGATTCAACGTAACGATAGACGCGCGCTTCGAGAACTTTCGATAGACTTAGTTAATTGCGTAGCAACCATGCATCAAGTCAAGTACTTCGCTGACGTCAACGCCAGTGACAACCTCCGAAAGATAGTAATGAGATTACCAGATTATCTCATTCAAAAATGGAAAAGCGTAGTAATAGATATTAGAGAGAAACAAAGATCCCCTACGATTGAAGATATTAGTACCTTTTTGCGAAAACAAGTAAAGGCGGAATTTGATCCCGACTTTGGAGATATGTCTCTAAAACCTCCCAAGTACGACCCGCGAAAGGGCGAAGCAAGAGAACGACACGGAATTAACGCAGCACAAAGGAACGAGCATTCGAAAGCCTTGAAATGTTATGTGTGTAATGAAGACCACAAAGTGATAGAATGTCCTACCTTGGCTGATTCTACCGTCCCAGAACGTTTCAACCTAGTGAGAGAGGCAAGATTATGCTTTTCTTGCCTGAATAAAGGTCACGTGACGAGAGACTGTAGATCGAAGAAAAAATGCGAGAAAAATGGATGCACAAGACTTCATCATCAACTGTTACACGGAGAGCCTGGAACAATGAGCGGTATATCATCAGTGCTGGACAAGGGAAGCATTCTACCAGTTGTTAGAGTTTGTTTCAGAGCACCAAACGGTCGAACACGCGAAGGAAATGTCCTCATCGACAGCGGCGCAGGTACCACAGTAATTCGAAAGGATTTTGCCCGATCACTTGGTCTGCAAGGCAAACGAGAAAAAATTGACCTAGCCCTTGTTGGAGGAGAAAGAGTTGAACAACCCCAAAGCAGAAGAGTGACCTTCTCAATCTCAGCACTCAACGGAGCAGAAAAGCAGAGAATAGAAGCCCACGAAATCGAGAAACCGTTTTAAGTGTCCCACGTTTGGATCGTCCGTGGTTGAAATCATTTGCACACCTTCGAGACATCGACTTCTCGCATAAAGCTGGTCCAATTGATCTTATCTTAGGTGTCCAGTTCAGTCATTTGCACGCAGAAGATGAAGTACGTCAAGGCCGTCAATTTGAGCCTGTTGGAAAAAGAGCGAAGCTAGGATGGTTTGTCATCGGTTCTGATAGTTCACAGAAAATGTCCAAAGTATGTTCAATAAGTTTTGTCCAACCCGTCAACCTAGAGAAATTCTACGAGTTTGAAACCCTCGGAATCCAAGCCCCCCAATGTCATTGTCCACAGATAGCTATGTCACCTGACGACAGAAAAGCCATCGAGTTAATGGAGAACTCCTGTAAGCAGCAAGGAGGGAGATATATCATTGGACTTCCTTGGAAGAAAGATAAAAATCTTTTGCCTAACAATTATTCACTCGCTGAGAAAAGATTGTTTTCGCTGGAAAGAAGCCTGAAAAGAAACGATGTTAAGGCTAGTTTGTACAACCAAGTCATGAATGAGTACGAAAGAAACGGTTGGTCGCGTCAGTTGTCACAAGAAGAAGAAGCCAAAGATAAATCATCGCCGGACATGGCCAGTTACGTTATGATCAAGATCGCGAACGAAAATGAGTCCCAATGTCCTCGAGCTGCCGTGATTCTCAAACGTGATCGGTACATGGATGATCTTATTCATTCAACAAGCACGCAGGAAGCAGAGAAATCCAAAGGCGAAGTCGATGACGTGTTAGCTACGGGAAGTTTTAAGATAAAGGAATGGTTTGTTTCGTCGTCCGTTCAAGAAATGCAAGCTGAGAACGTTTCTAGTTCGGAAGAAGAAAATCATGATTTCAAAGATAACGTGATAGGTGTAAATAGTGAATGTACAACGACAAAGAATGTCAACCTAGACGGCGAAGAAGGAATCAAAACCTTAGGAGTCAATTGGAATCCACAGACTGACAAATTCAGTTTCTCAGTAAAGGAAATAAAGATAGAAACGTTAACGAAGAGAACAGTTCTGTCGAGGATTTCACGTTTGTTTGATCCACTTGGATTGGCTTCTGTAGTAACTATCAAAGCAAGAGTTGCTCTCCAAGAAATCTGGAAAGCAAAGAAGTATGACTGGGACGACCCACTGCCTGAAGAAATGCACACTTTATGGTACAAACTTTTCCGAGAGTTAGAAAGTTTAAACACAATTACAATTCCGCGTTGTTTACGTCCTGATGAAATTTGTGGTCCATCCGAGCTGCATGTATTCGCTGATGCCAGTGCCACAGCGTATGGAGCGGTTGCATATCTTCTCTGGCCCACCACAGAAGGTCCTAAAGTTAATCTCATCGCCTCGAGAGTAAGAGTTGCTCCTTTACGTCAGGCAACCATTCCACGGTTAGAGCTTATGGCAGCACTGGTTGCTTCAAGATTGGCAAGTACCATTTACAACGAGTTTAAAACGAAGCCAGCTGTAGTTAAACTGTGGTCCGATTCGAAGATCGTTTTGCATTGGTTACGAGCAGATTCTGCATTGTTGAAGGCATTCGTTGGAGTTCGAGTAGCTGAAATTCAGTCAACATGGGAATCAAGTCATTGGCGTTATGTTCCTTCTGCTCTGAATCCTGCCGATGATTTAAGTCGAGGAATTGATGTTAAAAATATGTATGATCGATGGTTCCAAGGACCAGCGTTCCTGCAATTGCCAAACAGCGAGTGGCCAAGCGAAAGTGTGGAGACCATTCAGAATGATCCAGAAAGAAAGAAACCCAAGATCCTGGGGAGTTTCAATCCTGATATCCAGTGCATAGATCCAAAAAACTTTTCAAATTGGCAACGATTGGTCAGAATTACAGCTTACTGCAAGCGTTTTGGTCATAATGCTCAACTAAGCGCACGAGACAAGTCGGAGTTAAAGTCGGGTCCTCTCCAACCTAGCGAAATAAATGATGCCAAAGAATTTTGGATTCGTAAAGTACAGAGCACGTTGATTGATTGGAAAGATCGTTACAAGGATCTTGCGCCCTTTGTCGAAAACGATATCATCCGCGTTGGTGGTAGACTAAAGAGAGCGTCCCTTCCCTACGATCAAGCACATCCCATATTGCTACCCGGAAACCACCACATATCGAAATTGATAATGGACGAATTTCACGAGAAAGTGTGCCATGCTGGCTGCGAAAGAACCCTCTCTGAGAGTAGACGTGAATATTGGATCATGAGTGGACGGCGTATAGTTAAAAAGACAATCAAGAATTGCTTAGTGTGTCGTAAGTTTCGTCAACGACCTCACACCACTTTGATGGCTGATCTTCCGCAAGAGAGAGTGAAACCGTTTTCTCCACCATTTACTGTAACTGGAGTGGACTTGTTCGGTCCGTTTAATCTTAAAGTTTCACGAAATAAGAGTGTCAAAGCCTGGGGTGCTATATTTACCTGTGCGACAGTTCGAGCCATTCACCTAGAAATCGTAGAGAGTACGTCAGCTGAAGCCTTTCTTCATGCACTGCGACGTTTTGCTTCACATCATGGCTGGCCAAGCACGATAATCTCCGATAACGGGACGTCATTTGTTGGTGCTGAGAGATTGTTGAGAGAATTGGTTGTAAAGGAGAGAAAGAAACTTGAAGATTTCGCAACACTCTACCAACTTCGTTGGATATTCACGACACCAAGGAGCCCTCATCAAGGTGGAATATACGAGAGCCTGATAAAGCAAGTTAAGAGTGCCATTCGAATCGTAGTTGGAAATCAGAATCTAACTTGGAATGAAATGAGCACGGTTTTCGCTGAAGTTAAGTCTCTGATAAATGGAAGACCTTTAGGATACCCTTCGAACGATCCCAACGACTTACAACCCCTTACCCCTAACCATTTCCTTATCGGTAGAGCATCGAACAGTGTTCCTCACGGATCGTTTGAGAGATCTGAGATTTTGAGTCGAAGATTCGAGTTTATCCAGAGCCTTGTACAGCAGTTCTGGCAAAGATTCATACGAGAATATCTACCGACGTTGCAGAAACGAGCAAAATGGCGATTGAAAGAACGACAGATGAAAGTTGGAGATTTGGTCCTGATGGTGGATTACGAGACACCAAGAGGAAAATGGAAGTTAGGTCGACTTGAAGAAGTTTACCCTGGGAAAGATGGTGTGGTAAGAAATGTGTTAGTGAAAACTCAGCATGGTCAATACAAAAGGTCTGTGCAAAAGTTATGTGTTTTAATAGAAGCTAGTTAGACGAACATTCATGAACTGTGGCCCCGGAGGGTTGGTGTAAATAGCGAGCAACATTTGACATTTGACATTTGATATAGTTAGTATTAAGTTCTGTTATGGTTTATATAGACATTTAAGTGATGACATTTTTGAGTGACATTATAGGCGTTAGTTGTATCAGTATTTTGTAAGAGAGACACGCGAGAGTAAAGAGACGGTTTAAAGGACGGATAGTTAGAGAGATTAACGTAAAGTTGTAGTCAGAGTCAAGTCCTGCAGGGATCTACCCTTCAGGTACAGATGTTTAATTGTTTTATATGTTATATTTGTAGTATTGTGTTATTAGTCAATTTTACCATGTTATGTCGCGAAAATATGATTGGCATGCATGTGTTTTAGCCTTTATACTTATACTAGGTAACTTTCATTTTGTATAGAATATATTATCTCATTAAATATTAAAAGAAATCCCTGTTCGACTCAGTAAACCAGTCAGTGCCAACCACATGGTCTCCAAAGTCTTCGAACGTTGCGTCTACAACCGACTCGTATCACCAACCTCGTTCCCAGGGCTTTTCCCTTTTTGTCGTTGGGAAGGCGGGAAAAGGCCCTGGCACCGGCCGGTCTTCTATGTATTCCGATTGGTCAATGAGAAGTACATTATTATGCAAATGATGCAATCTTGGATTAATTTATTTAAACTTTGGGATAAATTAACATTTTCACGCAAGCAGTCAGGGGTGTCATAGGAGTGTCATTATTAAAATACTTTGTCCGTCTAAGAAATATTTTTGGCAAAATCTGTGGCAAAATAGTTAAATTCGATAAGATTTATACACAATATATCGAAGGTTAGTACTATTGTTTGTTTTAAACTGTGAGAAATCGAGAGAGAAGATTAATTGTGTGCTAGAACACACCTCTGAGGCTCTGACCGAGTATTTAGGGTAATGTTTATATTCATAAAACTAAAGTCTGGGTTTATAAACTGAAACATAACCTTTATTAGTTTTTGATATTCTTCATAGTGGAGTTTAAATTGGCCTAATTTATAGTTAGTTACCACTAGAAATGCGACAATATTTTGTTATATCATATATGCAACAGTGTTTACAACTTTTGAATAATATGTGACTTGGTTTTGTTTCAGATACTATTACTTTTTGCTTCATTTTACCATAAGTTGTGTTAAAAAAGTGATTTGCTAATTTGGCTGATGTTACAGTTTTCTGATGTGTTTTGTTTGGATGATAGTAGAATAATTTCAATATGAAAGTGCAGGTGTCTTTAGACATGAGCCATAATGTATATATCAAAATACTGATAAAATCCGTTTCTAGCTTGATTGTACTTGCATTGTTGCAGACAAAGTTGTGCAATGGTGGGCTTATGTCACATACTCGTATGCAGGGACGCCGGAACGATAATGAGGCAAAGGGGGGCGGACGCACATCAAGGGCACCTCTATGGAGCAAAACTTCAAAATCTACCTGAAAAGGGGGTCAAAAAGGGGTCAAAAAATTTTTCCGGACATACCAAAATTTTTCGTGAAGTCAAAAAATTTTCCCCATATCTTAAATTTTTGCCATTTCTTCAAAATATTTTTCTAAATTCCAAAAATTTTCAAAAATTTTTAGAAATATAAACTATAAATTACCTGAATCTCATGATTTTCCTACAAAAAGCATCGTTGCAAACGTGATTTATCACGTAGAATGTTACAACTAAAAGGGCACTTCTGCCCCCCCCTGTCCCCCCCTAGCAAAAGGCAAGGGGGGCAGTCGCCCTCCTGCCCCCCCCAGTTCCAGCGTCCCTGCTCGTATGTAATTCCATGTGCATGCTTGTACTTGCCTCAAGAGATGCTTCGAATGTGTAATAAAGGGCTGTTCGCAGGAGTTGGGCTGTCTGGCCTTAATTGCATTGTTTTTATGATATTTTAAGATTGTATTCATATGGCTGGACCATCTTGCCATTGCCACACTGTCTGATGTTGAAACAGACTTTAAAATCAGGTTACAATGCATGCTTGAAAATATGCAACAATTTCACTGCTAATAATATTCCAGAAAATCCTGCCTCTTGGGCAGATCTGGACTGATTTTTCGGAGAGGCTTGGAGGTTTTCTACTTGTGATCGGGCAAGGGGAGCTAGCCAAGGGTGCTGGGTCAGAGTCAAACTCATGTGAACAGTTTCTAAGTCCTAATTATATTGATAAATTATGTACATTTTGGGATGGTAATTATTCCACATTTTATTTAATAAAATTTAATTATATACATTGTTTTTGTTAGAACTGCTCCCGATTAATCGATTATTTTTCCACAATCGATTATGCTTAACGGTAATCGAATCATCTATAACACCACACAGCGTGATGCGGGAATGAGTTCATTTCTTTCCGGGTTAAAAAAAATTGCGACAAAATTTTGATTAAAACATTAAATGACAAATTGATTCAAAACATAATTGTGGGTCAAATATCAATTTCACTCGCAGCGTGCAAAGTTTACCATAGTCTGATCGGATTACCAGTGCTGTGAAAATATCTTTAAAGTTTTTTTTATTACAAAAGCATTGCGGCGTGTGGACATAAACCAATTATCCATAAGAGTCTGAGTCTCGCAAATTTACTTAGGAAAACAACAAAAAGTAGGTAAACAACTAAAGTAAACATCCTTAATATCGTTCCTGTCTTCTCATGCATGTCTCTTGTGTGAAGTGTAAGAGCGCGAGAATGTCCGCAATATATAATTTGGTTAACGTTCTTTTTAAACGCAGATTTAAAATGTTTATACTGACTGGTGAGTGGTGAAACCCGCAAAAATTTAGTAAAGTTTAATTACAATTTAGAAACCTGTCAACCACCATGGGCTTTTCATATTTAAATTAATTATCAATACGATTAATTGATATTAATCGATTGTTGACAACGATTAATCGATTACGAAAATTAACCGGTGGGAGCAGCTCTAGTTTTTGTTGTTTATATTAACACCTTGGACAGTGTATATTTACACCTTTGGACCCTGTAAATAACACCTTTGGAGGGTGTACCCATTCTAAGCGAAAGATGTTTAAGAACAATTATCAAGGTATTTGTATGATAAAATATATTTAAACTGCTCTCCATATACATGTAATGCATGGTTCAATTCTTGCTTTTACCAAGTAAACCCAGGGACTTTCAATGTCCCCCTCCTCCCGTAGAATTCACTTGAAGTGACTGGGGCAAGGTAGCTATATAAGTATAAGTAGGTATGTAAAAGTCAATTAAAATTTACAAATAGAGCTTTTTGAATATAGACCATTGCAAAATGTGTTTTAATTTGTATAGTGGCAATGTTTATGGAATAATTATGCATACTAGGAGCTTTTGGTTTTCATCATCTTTTGGTTTTCATCACTTTTAGGAATTGAAGTTCGATCCTGTGGACATTCGTTGAATATCGTTTAAAATCGTTTAGGGATTGTTGACTATAATCGAAGCGCTCAATGGCTGTGAACAGCGTTGTGAACGACGGCAACACAAACAATTATACTGAACTCGATCTCACTCTAAATGTGAACTCCACTTATATTTGGCAGAAATACGGAAAATATCTTGAATGCTGCGAAGACAGAAGAGTAAAATGGTTAGGGGACTTAACTTATCTAAAGGATTTTGTGTCAAGTTTGTACGGCAATGTCCGCAAATGGAATTCTCCTGGGGCATCAGCGAAGTGTATTCGGCACGATCAAATTTGCCTAACCTGGCATGCAAATAAAACGTCTTTGCTTTTTCAAGGTGAGGAGGGAAATAAACTAAAAGATCTGATTATAAAATGCTATAAAAACAGTGATTTGGCGCACGACCATGCCAATACATGCGAACAAGAACCTATCGTATTAGTCAACAACGGTAGACGAGAGTCACCAAATGAGTGTCAAAATTGTAGTCGTCTGTTTGCAGAAATGACTGAAGTCAATCGCAAAATTGATGGGCTGCATGAGATTGTCAATAATCTCTATCAGTTGAATACAAAGTTTGTAAATTATGAATATTCTAGAAATGACGACAAACGAAGTACTTGTGAACTGGGCACGCAAACTGATCTGTACTCGGAGCAGAGTGTTGCTCAACACCCATCCGTCATACAGACTGCTGATATCAACTTGGCTACCGAAATAGAAGGCCTCAAGTTAGACTTTGTAATTATAGAATCGAAAACTGCGAGAGATTTGGAGGCTAACAGACAAGCGATAGAACAGCTTCGAGGCGAGCTAGCGACCGTAGGGGAGAAGATTAGATGCTCCCAAGGGTGTCGTGTACTGCCTAATGATAATGCTAAAGAAAAGTTAAATCATTCAACCCAATTAAGCTTTCAAACACCAATAAACGTTCATGCTAATCATGGTAACTCTAATTCAATTCAACCATGCGTTACTCACTCACCAACAAATTGCGCTGAAAAAACTCAAATTATTCAACTCAGCCAAGTGCACAAACATCAACAGTGTGTGAAGCTAATCATGGTAATCTAACCCAGCAAAGTCCCCAACCACCAACAATTGACCACAACGTAACAAATACTTGCGAAATAGGAAACAGTTCCAGAATGGAACACATTAATACCATAGCAGAAACTGAACCGTGTGCACCGCGGAGTACCACGATTGCTGAATGGATAGACCGTTTGACCCTCGTTGAAACAGTACAATCAAAGTTTAGCACTGAAAGCCGTCCTTTTTTTCGGAAACGCTACCGCAGGAAGAGTCGAGGCAGTTTGGTAAAACAGAATCATCGGGAATACATCAAGAATCGCCGAACACAAGATTGGCTCAATCACCTGAACCTTGTACGCCATATTATGACTTAAGAACGGCAAGTCATGGATATTACGAGTCTATGACTTTGAACACCAACATAATACCACTCACATCAATTTTTCATAACCTTGTTTCTGACTCATTAAATATTCAAAACTGTCAAATATTCGACTCTGAATTCCATCCTCGCTGGAATTGTAGTAAATATCGTCCAACTACTCGCACGTTAATCACGATTCCATCCACCCGTCTATCCTATGACTTCCCAACTTTCTTCTTAAGCAACTCTCGTTCAATGGCTAATAAACTGGATGAGATCAGTGCAACTATTACTAATAATAAATGTGATGTTGCAATCATCACAGAATCATGGCTTTCGTCAAGCATTACGAATGATCTCATTAAGATCCCCGGATTTTCAAGTATTCGCAAAAACCGATGTGACGATCAACGTGGTGGTGGGCTCTACACCTACATCAGAAATACATTGGACTTCCTAGAATTAAAAGACTTATCTCACCCCGACATTGAATCACAGTGGTTCTTGATAAAACCAAAAAGACTTCCAAGAGGAATTGATGCAATTGTAGTAGCCTCTGTATACCACCCTCCACAAAATAACGATTCACTAAGGAACCATCTGTTTGAATCCCTAGACAACGCCCTCATCAATTTTCCAAACGCAGGCATCGTCTTGTTAGGGGACTTTAACCAGTTTAAACCTGGATCATTAACTTCATCCTTTAATCTTAAACAAGTTGTGAAAAGACCCACCCGTGGTAACAATATCCTTGACAAGATTTACACTACCCTTTCGAAGCATTACATTGATCCCATTATATTCCCATGCATTGGACAATCTGATCACCAAAGTGTTCTCCTCAACCCGACTAAACAAAGTCCGAAGTCACTCAAGTCTTATACCCCCTCCGACATACTAAAAGAGACTGTCGACCCGCAAACAAACAAGCCCTAATCACCACCTTATCCCAAATCAACTGGACCCCACTTTACCACGTAACTGCTCTAGATGATCAATTCAACCTATTCTCGAACAAACTATCCTCTGTTATCGATAGTCACCTCCCTCTGCGCACCATAAAGTGTTACCCTAAAGATAAACCATGGATCACTGCAGATATAAAAAAATTCATTTCTAAAAGGCAGAAAGCTTGGTTAACCAGCAACACTATCATGTATAACGTTTATCGTAACAAAGTTAGAAAACTATGTAAATCTGCTCGTCAGTCCTACTACGATAAGAAAATCCTTAATACCAGTGAATCTGACCCAAAAAAATGGTACGATAACATCAAGTCTATTTCTGGTCTATCTAAATCGGAACCCTTTTCGAGCATCTTCCATGGTGGTGAGTTCAAAAGAGGTCCTGAGCTCGCTGAACTAATTGCCGAATCTTTCTGTGCTGTTTCAAACGAATTGGCCCCACTCTGCTTCAATAAGCTTCACATTACATCTGTTCCTGATGAGTACATAATACCAACAAGTTGAAATCGAATTGGAAAAGATTAGCCTTCAGAAAGCAATTGGCCCCGACGATATCCCCAACTGGGTACTGAAATCAGCTGCACCGTTGCTTGCTGGTCCAATATGTTCCATCTTCAATGCCAGCATTGCACAAGGTTGCATCCCGACACATCTACGTTGTCTTTCATTCAATGCGCAGAGTATTCGAAGCACTAGAAAGTTACCTGACGGATCATACGCTAGCAATTTAAAATCCTTTCAAGACGTAGTTTACGCTGAGGAACTCGATTTAATTTTTGTGACTAAGCTCCCTTACACCAGAATTACTGCTGGAAAGAATGGTCCAAACTGGTCAGATCGCCTAGAGATTGTCGCTATCGAAATCGATATGTCTACCTGTAAGAAATGTCTTGCGTGTGACTGTTACCGACCGCCCAGATGTGACAGTCACGAATGGCTAGCGTTGTCCACGGCATTTCTTGAAACAACGGCAAATTACGAAAAGGTCCTAATAACCGATGATTTCAATTTTCCTGACCTCACTTGGAACTCAACTCTTCCACCGAACTCGTCACATATGAATCCATCTACTGGATCTGCAGAATTCAAAGAATTAAGTCTAGATTTCTTCCTACACCAAGTCAACATTTATCCCATCCGACAGAACCACGTTCTAGATCTCATCCTAACATCCGCTTCCAAGAATATCGGTAACCTCTCGTGCATTCCACCTTCAACTATAGGCATCTCTACTGATCACCATCTGTTGTTCTTTGACCTTCTATTTTACGTCAAGTCGACCGGATGCGACAGAAGAACTGTGTTTGACTTTCAACATGCTAACTGGAACGCTTTGCACGAGACTCTGAGCCATCTTGATCTTGCTCCGGGTGATTCCACTAATATCGATGCTGACTGGACGAAATGGAAAGATTTGTTTCTTGGTGCTGCTGCCAAACATATCCCGCAAAAAAAACTTCAAAAGACGTACCACTCCTTTGTGGATCGACGGCGAAGTTAAACATCTTCTTCAAAAGAAAGACACTTGCAGAAGAGCTGCCAAACAGAAATCGTGCTCCAGCCTTATTTGGGAAAAGTATCGGGAGTTGCGACGTAAAACAAAGTCTATCATCTACGCGAAACGCAAGAAATTCCTTAAATCTCTCCCAGCCTTACTGAGATCGAGTACAAAGAAGTTTTGGTCAATTTTCAAGTCCGTTTCCAAGCACTCGAACATTCCCAACAAAATGTCATGGTCTCATCCTGACGACGTAACAAGCTCAGCCAAGAACCCAGCGGGTATTGTCAACTTACTCAACCACTACTTCTATCCCGTTTTCAAACCTTCTGACGACGAAACGTCCTTCCCAAACTCTAATGACTCGAACTCTGATACTTCAGAATGTACCATCTCCAGCATCACCTTAACACCCGAGGAAGTTCACCACGTTCTTGCTGCTCTCGATGAAAACAAAGCGACTGGCCCAGACAAAATACCAGCGAAACTCCTCAAAAACTGTGCGTCTAGTATTTATTTATCGCTATGTGATCTCTTCAACAAGAGTTTCTCTCTGCGTAAACTTCCAAATGAGTGGAAACTCTCCAATATTGTTCCAATCCCAAAGAAAGGTCCAGCTGAAGAGGTATCAAACTATCGATCAATATCTCTGTTGTCCTTGGTGGTGTAAATAGCGAGGAACATTTGACATTTGACATTTGATATAGTTAGTATTAAGTTCTGTTAAGGTTTATATAGACATTTAAGTGATGACATTTTTGAGTGACATTATAGGCGTTAGTTGTATCAGTATTTTGTAAGAGAGACACGCGAGAGTAAAGAGACGGTTTAAAGGAC